TTAAAAAGTTATTACAAGAAAAGAAAGTGAATTTAAAAAAAAATTTATTCAGCTTTGATAGTTCTGTTTTTTAATGATAACATTTTTTAGCAAGATTGCGAGATTAAAATTAATACACACGGGCTTTGGATATCAAATAATTAATTGTTCTTAATTAAATAATTTTGCTAAATTAAAATTGTAAATTTTCGGTATGGGATGACAGTACACTTCGCTCCACTATAACAGAATATTATATTGGTTGTATATTAGACAGGACTCTTAAAGTAATTCCCAGAGGAAAATCTTCTCTACTAAATTAAGTATCTTGTTTAGATTAATTATATTTGCGGTTCTTTTGTGGTGAAGGTGAATTCACCTGGTTCTTATTTTCTCCCTGTAAATTAGAGCTCAACACTGAAACAAAATAGGCATCGAAGTCCTCGCTTCTGTTGAGGCCTTCACATTCAAACAAAATATTAAATCGAATTGAAAATAATTCAAATAATAATCATTATCATCTATATGTTAGTTATTAAGAGACACTTAAGATAAGTGATCATTTTTATACTCTCTAATTATAATACAAATTAAAAACTATATAATATTTAAAATTAAATGTGAGTTTAGAAATTTTTAAAATAGCAATAAAAATTTAAATAAATTTTCCGAAGTAACATAACCTAGAATTAAAGCTACCAAATCTGGGTTAGGTTACATTGGATTATTTTTGAAGATGTAATAGAACTGGTCATAATATTTATAGCAACATCAATTTTATGATCAAGGTATTTGACCACTGTTAATAAATTTAAATTTCTGAATTAAATTTAATGCATGGGTACTTTAAAATTTTTAGATATGCAAACAACCATCCCTAAATTCCCATCTATGTCTTGAGATAATAAGTCAAGTTTTTAATTAATTTCAAATTAAAATTTGATATCCAAAAATATATGTAAATTTTGACGTAGACTTCCTGGAGAAATTTTAAGGAAGTTTTTCCTGGTTTTATTGTAACAAGTTAAAACTATCTTGTTTAGTTGATTCTTTGCAGATTTTTTCTCGAAAGTAAATTTTTTGTTTTACATTAAATTTTTACTAAAACTTTGAAAATCATAAGATTGTCATATTTTCTAAATTTAATTTTACACCATTATTAATACAAAATTTTCTTCATTGTTGTTAATGTTGTGAAAACTTTTGTGAATACTTCTTTTTTTAGTTCATTTGTTGCACATATGAGCAGTCATGTGTGTCTCATTTACCAATACTTATTAAGTTAAAAAAAATTTTCTAAAAACTAAAATTTTCCATTTTAAAACGGAAATATTTTTTTATCATCTTTATTTGTTTGTTTTCTTTTAAAAAATCGTGCATGAAGTTGAATGAGCGTAAGGTTCTTTCTGAACTTTTCATCGAAACATTATCCTGCATCAAAAATATAAGTGACAAAATTTCATAAATTTTTTTTGTCTTTTGTTTTTACTTAAAAAATTTAATAAAAAAAGAAAGTACCGAAATAACATTCTATACCACATATGTAATAATGTTTGTATGGTTGTATATGAAAAATTGGAAAATCGAATTTCATAAATCTTAATTTAAAAACTTTTATCAGAATGGAAAAAAAAATTTCGGAAGAAATTTAATAGAACAAAAAAAATAATAGTTATATAGAAATTTTCATTTTCCTTTTTTTTTTTGTGATGCGAAAATATAATTTCATTTTGCTGGAAAATTTATGTAATTTTCATTGTTTTTGTCATAACATTTAAAAGCAGAGACTCGAAATCCGTATAGAGAATTTGAATTTATAGCTTCCAGTATTGTTTTACCAATAAATTTTGCTAATAGCTCACGAAAGAGTAACGTTAACGTTCTCATTATTATTGAAAATTGTTCTACCTTTCTTTTTAGTATTATTTGTGAAGCATAAAGCTACAGCTGCTGCGGCATTAATATGATTATTACAATATTTTTATGCCAAGATACCTTAAATTGCAATCTATTGCATGCTTGAACTTTAAATTAATATGAAGAATGAAAAATAAATCATTTTGAAATATAAGAGAAATTTTTCCCTCCCAAAAATATAAAACTGGGACAAATGGTGGTACTTAGAGTCTTCAGCCTTGAATTCAAACTAAAATAATTTTCTACATTAAAAATGTTTTGAAATACTGGTTAAAGAAAAAAGTATTGAGTAAAATGTTGATGCATTTGAAATACGTAAAAAAAAACTCTGTGTATCTTTCAGCTTTACTATTAAGGTTTTCCTGTTAAAAATGATACTTTTAAGATTTTGTTTTTTGTATCGATTGCAGTACAATGCAGGCGAATTCATTTTTATTCTGTTATAATGAAAAAAAAATTCATAAAATAATACCATATAAAAATATTTGTTGAATTTTCTTCTTTAACCTGCACGATAGTTTAAAATTTAAAGAAAAATATAATTTTTGGGAGGAATTTTAGGTGAAATATTGAAGAGAAAAAATAGAGAAATATAAGAGTTATTTAATCCGATTTTATATACTGGAACCGAAATTTTATTCAAATTAATTTACTAATATTCAGTTTTTCCAAATGACATAAGTAACTAGATAAATGCATTCCATACAGTGGTGTTTTGCTTTGCTGCTGTAGAGTTTAAAGAAAGTTATTGAAAATAATGAAATTTAATGTTTAAATAACGATGCCTTAACTGAGCTACATTTCGATCAAGTCTCTAAAACTTTAATCCCTGAAAAATTTCCTTATCAGATAAATCTGGTAGTATTCATATCCTTAAATAGGCTGAAATTTAATAGATTTGCAAATTTTAGAACAAAATAATTTTAATATTGGACTAAAATATTTTACTTTCAAAATTAAAATTCTCGATAGTAATAGCGGGTGCATAAAATCTTAATAGCATTTTTTCGATAATAAAATCAGTTCAGTTATACAACTTTTATATAATAGCAAAAATATTAACCTATATATGAATCCTTATTAAAACACAAATAAAATATTTAAAATTTAAATCAGACCAATTACTAAGAATTACAAAGAATACAAAAATATAATATCAATATAAATATTGTTATATTCCAATATAAACTGTTTATTGTAAAGGACTATTCAAAATATTTATTTTCATTTTCTTTTATATTAACATTAGGTACACTTAAAACTGTAGAAATTTTAATGATTTATTCATCTTTTTGCCACTGTAATCCTCTTTTCATTTATAATTCCATTTAATAATGTATAAAAGTTCATAATGTATATAAATATCACATATAATTATATGCAATATATATACACAAACATATCATAATTTTTGATCTTTGCATATTTTAATTTTAACACAAAGAATTTTAGTATTTGAGCATATTTTATGAATTGAAGAAGAAGACTTATGAATTAAAATTTTACAACAAAAATTTATATGTATGGAAATTTGATAAAATTAATATGGTAGAAATTCTCACGGAAATTGTTTACAATCATTAATTAATATATGAAATTGTGAATAGTAATGCATGTGTTGTAGCGAATGTGTTTTTTCTTGTTACATAATACTCTTTTACGATTTATTACAATAGCATCATAAAAAAAATATCTATTAATTTGGCATAATAGTCTTAAATCAAAATATTCACAATGTATGTACATTTTTAATAGCTTGATATTCAATAAATTAAGAAAATTTGAGGAATAGGGCCAGTGATACTAAAATGAAGTTGTTAATTGTAAAGGTTGTTTTATTATTAAAAAAAATTTAGTTTAAATAATAATAATAGTTTAGTATTAGCGATGCCGGATCTGTAGTCAAGTTGATGGGTCTTTGATCTTGAATCAATGTTAAACTGATCACCATTGAAGTGATATGATATTACTGTTTCTATTACTGTTGTAGTTATGATATTTTTTCATAATTCATGAAATTTTTAAGCAAGTTTTCACTTAAGTAGATTTAATAATAATGTTTTAGTATTAGCGATGCCGGATCTGTTGTAATTTGAAATTTTTATGCAAGTTTTCACTAAACTAGATTGCACTCATCAATATTCTCTAGACTCCAAAACTGAGCATTAAATTTTGAGAACTTTTTCTCATTCACCCAAATAAATTTAAATAAATAATCTACTATATTTAAACATAAACATTTTCTGTTAATTACAAGAGAACAAGAGTTAGTTTTAACACTAAGGGTAATTAACCCACCTAATTTACTTGCAGTAAAAGAAAAAAATTTATTTTTGTATTCAAACATTTAATTAGAGTTTGTAAAAAAAAAACAATCCTCTTTTTTTTGTTGGATTATTTAAAATATCCTTGTCAAACATAAATTATATAATATACAAATACATTTATTATAAGCATGTATATCAAAATTAACATTTTAATATAATATACTTCGTGGTAATAAGGCATAGTCGGAAGGAGGTTCGGAAATATTATGCGAATAATTAAAATTACTGAATAAATTCAACATAATTTTGATGATAGCTTCCGTCGGGAGGGCTATCAGATCCTATATGAAAATCTAGCTTTGGTCACAACTTACTTGCCGTATTATATGCTGTTCCATTATAAATCAAATCAGCAGGAATAAACTATTCTAAATAAAAAATTCCAAAATTAATTTTTGCTTTATTTTACTTTCAAAATGACACGATTTACAGCATTTTACAGAAAAACAACTAAATTTTTCTGAACGGTTTCATTTCAGATTTTTTGCAGTCATTTCAACTTGATTCGACTATGGTAGGCCATTATTATCCGGAAGTATTATATATAATATTAAAATGCATAATTTAATTTGATTTTAATTGCATATTCATAGATTATAAATAAGCTAATTAAAATATTCATAAATCCAAAAATACTTGTATATGCAACATATAAATGTTCATATACATATATACAGTTCATAAATTTTAATCCTTTATTTTGCTACAATATATAATATATGTATATAATAATATTAATTATTTAATAATATTATGAAAAAATTATTTTTCACATACCTGAACATGCCTGCGGTGGTAAAGGAAATATTAATGTTGTTGAACTTTTTCTTCTAGCTACAGCACATCCCAATGATTGTGGTTTAAAGCTTCTTAGCTGTTGCATAAAATCTGAGCACTCCATTAGGGCAACGTCTGCGAAATGTAAGTCGCAGAGAATTTGGTTCTACATGAAAAAATTAAATAGAAGCACAAAAAAAAAAATGAGAAAATAATTAAAATTGTTTATTTTTTTTTTGTTCTTTTTAAATCAAGGAATTTTCCGAAAAAAAATGTGTGTGGTGCGCGGTTGAAAATAAAATTTCACATTCATTTAATTTAAATGTTTTTAATTTTTTTTTACATGTTTCATTATATAAGTGTATTTTAAATCATTTTGATTCCATGTAATTGAATTTTTTGTTTATTTTTTTTCTTTATTTATGGTTTTCCTTGTTTTTATTTTAATAAATTTAATGTGATGAATTTTTTCAAGTTTACAGAATGATGAGTTTTTGTATAACATGAATGGAATAAGTGAAAAAAGTAAAAGTGAATAAAAAATAAATTTTATATTAAATTTAAATGCTGAATATTAAATTGATTAAAGGATCAAAAACGAAGAAAGAAAAATGAAAATGAAGGAGAAAGAGAACAACAACAATATCAATAAAACAAAAATAATTTGTGATTTTTTAAATTCTTATTTTCTTTTATATTAATCTTTTCGGGATTCTTATCAAATATTATTTTAGTATTAAATTGATTTTTAATTTAAGGAATTTTAAATAAATTTTAGAAGAAAGGATAATTTTCCGAAAGAATAATTTTCAGACACTTAAAATTGCATATTTTTAGGATGAAATGGTTTTTCTGCGGAAATTTGTATTATTTGAATTATATATATTTCCAAAATCAATAACATTAAATTATTGACATTATAACTCTTTCATTTCGGCCTCAATCACCGAAATTCATGTTATGTATTCAGTTCTTTTTCTATTAATTCAAAATATATGCAGTAAATTTAACATTTACTGAATAGTGTTGTATGTAATGACTTATTCATAGAATCACGGCATTTAATATCTATGTACTACATTATTCATTAGAACGAAATATATAATAAACTAGCTTGTATAATAAAAAATTTTAATAAATTATGTATGACTTTCAATATAAAATGAATTTCCTTCAATTTACATTTACTTTCTTTTACTTTCTAACTAAATTCCCATTGTACGTGGCACGACAGTATAATGTTAATAATTTTGTTATTACTATGTTATATAAAATAAAAATTAAATTTCACGTTTATATTTATTTTTATTTGTTTTTATAATATTTTGCTAAAAATCAATTATTTTCGGGTAACTCTTATACACGTGTAAAAATAATATGAAAACAGTTTTTTTTTTGTAATGATTATTATCGTCGGAAATTTTGTTATAATGTTCTTGTGCTCGTAATTTAATCTATGTTCTTCTTTTTTCGTTGTTTTTTTTTGCGTATACAATTTAACATTAATAGCATCAATCATTTAATAGGTATAACATTATTAAGTTTTATATGGATATGCATGCTATATTCCTTAAGGGACGAAGTATAAATATGAAAATTTTACTTGCTTTCATAAAAATTTTCAACATTTTCAATAAAATTTTTAATTTTTAATAGTAAGATTAAGAATTATTTAAAAAATTTTTTATTGGCAAAGGAATTTTATATGTGAACTGTCTATGAAGTTATAAAAATGATTTTAAAACAGAATTTTCTTAAAAATTTTTAATATAAAATCTGGAATAATAATAAATTTGTCTATGTTAAATAGTATGTAATATTAGAATGCTTTTAACAAGTGTTATTGAACTGTTATATTGATTTATGTTACTTCAATCAAGTGTTTCTTACAAATAGTAACCATTTTATTAAAACAGCTCAAGAACTTAAAAACCCAAGAACTTGAAAATTTAAATTTATTTTAGATTTTAATGGCGAAAAATCACAAATATGGCTTTCTGCCATGCATATATTCAGAATCAACAATATTCTGATTAAAAAAAATTTAATTTGCAACTGCACAGCTTTTAATTATTCATAATTAAAATTTTAAATTTCCAAAAATTTTTGATGATTTTCTTATATTATTTTTCTTAAATATTGCTTCTCATAAGTAATTTGACATTATATTCAACCAAATTAGTTATCGAGTCGAAAAAAAAACTTGCATTGTTGGAAAATTAAATTTAAAATTTATTGAAATTTTTTTACATCCTGCCACCTTCGTGAGTAGTATATTGATTTTGCTATGGAGTTTGTAACCACTTGAAGAAGTCGTCTCCAGTATGGACATGATTATATACTCTTGCTCAACGTTAAATTCTGTGTTCATGTAAATATGTCTGTTCTTCCGTTTTTCCAATCGCAGGATAACTTAAAAACGAATAATGCAATCGATACCAAATTTTCACAAGTTGTTTCTTTTCTGTGAATTCGCACAATGAGTTCGGGTGGCTATCATACAACTCAAATGAATTTTTTTAAATATTTAAAAAAAACTAATAGAGATATTAATATGAAATTTTGTAAGGATCCGATTACATTCTACTTATAATCTGAAAATTATAATGGAACACAATTCCAATTTCAAAAGCTAATTTGAAATATTTCAAAAAATAACGGTTAGATTCATGAAACTTGGTGGTAGTGTGTCCAATTATAGATCAGAAGTATCTGTGAAATTTCTATAGAATGATTTCACAGGTTCGAGTAATTGCTATAAACAATGAAAGAAGCAGGCTATAACTCAATCAGTTTATACCAAACTTAAAAAGTTTTTACTTGTTTAAGATTAAATTATTAAAAAAAATTTTGAAACTGCAATTCAAGCTATTGAACTTGTTCTTAGAAATATTATTAGGAATTACATAAAAATTTTATAGTAATAATGATAAAAAAAAATTTAACAGTAATTTTATGCATATTATTTATAAAATTATGTGTTATCTTCTCTTACTGCTTTTTATGATATTATTAAAAAAAATTGAAAATCTAATATTTTTTTTTTTATTATACGTATATAATTCACAATAACATACTAAAATAATATTATGATTTTGAGTTCAGTTCATTAATACAAATAAAATTTTACCCCATTTTCAAGAATATTTTCCAGTTTTTAAAATTATTAAATTCCAAATAATGAAGGCCTTTATAATAAAGACTGAGATCCCTGTATTCACTCTTTCATCAAAATATAAACTTTTGTTTTATACCCAGTTTTTATAGTGATTGTGTGTACACATACATATGTACATTATTATTATATAATATGTGTATAATAAGGATAATAATTCAAACGTGTACACTCAATTACAAATTATGTATGTGCTATAAAACCTAAAAATATTTCTGTTAAAAGCATTTTTTTTTTTTTTGAAATTTATTCAAAAAAAAAAAAATATAAAAAATAAACATTATTTTGTTTGTTAATAAATTTTAATGATTCTGAAGGTTTTGTTGTTGCACACGTTTGTTTTTCTTTATTACTTTTATCTTATCGCACAATAAAATTCTTTCATACAAAAGGTTTGATTTGTATGGCATAAAAGTTTAAAAAAAAAATAATTTTTGTGTATTTTTTTAACAATCTTTGAATCAGTTATGAGAAGAAAAACATATGGTGAAGAAAAGAAAAACAAATAAAAGAATTACAAGCAGAGAATGAAAATGAGAAACAAAAGAAAAAAAAAACCAAAAAAAAGTTTTAAAAATTTCAAAATCGCCTTAAAATTTTTATGAACAATATATGAAAATTAGAAATTGTGAACTTGTAGAATTAAGTTAATTTTGTAAAATTATTACGATTTAATAAAGTATACTTGGGGTTCCAAAACTTTTAAGTCAGAAATTTAGAGTTTGTATTTTGAAAAAAATTTGATAATATTGAAATATTAAAATAAATTAGATGAATTCAATGCCTAATATTTGTATGAACTCTAGACCATGAGGTTAAAAAATAATTAACTCGTTAAAAAGCTGTTCCTTGAGCCCTAATAACTACATTACAAATTAGTTTTAAATTAGAAGAGTAAGTAGAATTACTTACTCTTCACTGTAACGTATATACAAAATATGAGTTTTTTCTTAAATTGCCTGCCGTATTACTAAATTTTTTCGTGTAATTCTGCATTACAAAGAAAATATTGTAATTAGGTTATATAAGTCGCAATCAAATTTTATTCAACTGGAACAGTAGCTCTAGTATTAAACAAATTTTTTCTATATTTAAGTACCGTGACCATTATAGTTTTAAAATATACAATCAAATTGTTTTTGGAATTGCATATAAAAATTATTATAATTTGAGCTTATGAAAAACCACAATAAAATTTTATTGGAGTGTTAGCACAATATTTTAAAATTTGATAACAGCATGAGTGATCTAATTCTTGTATTAAGACAATTTAGGAAATTAATTTAGGAAATTTTCAAGTATAATTCTAGAGAATATATCCAGCAAAAACTAAATGTAATTATACTTTGAGCAAATCAATGAACTAGTTTACATGCCTCACTTTTCTTTTATATTTAACAATAACATAAATTTTAACATGAAGACTTCTTGTATTTCTTTTCTAGAGTGTGTGTGTGTACATATACATAATTTATTAATATATTAAAAATTTTTACGCTCTCATGAGTACTCGTATGCATATTTGTAGAAATTTATAAATAATTTTTATAAATACACAAATTCATAATAATACTTTTGCAATAAATTTCCTTTATTATTAATATTTGACCTACATATTTTTATTAACCATATACTTGATTCCTATATCACCCGTTTAGAAATTGTATATAATGAATATTTTATATTAAAAATTGATTCCTTTATTATAATTATAATAAATTAAAAGCTATTTGCATATAAGCTTAAGCGAATAAAATTAAATTTTTGAAAGCAATAATTGGGTAAATTTAAGTAGAAATTTATATTATGCAAATATCTATATGTTACACTATATTGTCAATGACTTATTAATTATACTAATATATTGTCGTTTTACAATTTTATCTTTTGAATATTCTTAAAAATTTTAATAAACATGTGTTGTATTTTAAAAGATTCATCTAACAATATTTTTCTAAGAAATGTTGCATATTTATAGGGGTATTATTGAATATTGCATTATTGTTATGGGAAAATTAATCGACTATTCAAAATGGTGAATGTTTCAGGTTGAATTTAATTGTTAATTAGATGTAGTAGTTAAGAAATTTAATAGAAATATTTAATATAGTAGTTAAGAAATTTAATAGAAATGTTTAAAATTTTATTAATTATTATAAAAATTGAAGTATATGATACTTTTTCTTAATACATTAATGAGAGATCGCTCAAACTCTCGTAAGATAATTTTATAAGCTCGTTGTTTTATAAACTATTTTATAAATGTTGTTGTTTCTATTTCCAAAAAAATTTAAAATTATAACCCTATTTTGGAATTAATAGTTTTAAATGAGTTAATCGTATAACAAAATTAATAGTTAGTTTAAAATAAATTTACTTTTTTCCGACCGTATTGCATAAAATAAATTATACGTTATGTGATAGCGCCAATATTCGGATTAAATAAGTTTCGCCGTGTTATAGAAGAGTAACGAAACTATTTTTAGAGAACTATCTGTCGGACTGCTTGCCTGTGTCTGTCTGGACCGATTTTCACGAAAATTTATAACTTAACTTTTGGGGTATGTCAGGTCTTTCGAAGTGGATCTGAAATAATTTGAAATTTAATATATGAATTCAGGGTATTAAAATAATGAAATTGTAAAACTCTTCAGTGAATTTGGATGGCATAAACTGATTTACTACTAATCGCCAAATATACGGTTTTATAGTCATGTAAACTAAAAGTTTTGAAGCGTCCCCCATTAATTACATAATCTTGTGTAACATTTTGTTATGAAGAAAATTTTCCAATATTTAAATAAGAATATTTATTCAATTAAGAATTTACTAAAACTTGATTAAATATCTCAAAATTCATTAAATTTGAATATAAGCTTTTCAATTTTTTACCTTCATAAATGCATTATTTTAATTATGAAGCATAAAAAAGGATATTTTTTTTCTTTACGAAAGGATACTCTATGTTTTTACTTGTAAATCTAGTTAAGATGAAAGTGAGTTGCAATTTTCAAAATTATTTTAATATTTTTGATTTATATTTCATCATTAAAATTTTTATACATGCATGAAAATTTTATCTGCAATACTGCACACGTAAATGTACATAAAGAATTTTGTATAAAGATAAAAATAATGCATTTTACGGGTAAAATAAATTAAAAAAGTTTTTTTTTTTTGAAGATATTTTGATTGTTGCATGTAATTAAAATTTTTTTTCTTCTCTTTTTAAGTTAAAAATTTACTCGAAATTAAATTTTACAAGCATAATTTAATATAAAATAAAGTATTAAACGTGTTCGCAGCTGCATTAAGAATATTGAAGGATTGGATGTTACGTAGAATGAGTAAAAAGTTTGCGAATTTAAAAATATTTTCTATTTTAACAATGTTGACCTGGCTGGAACACATGTGTACCAGTAAACTATTAAACTATTCGAAAATCGGGTCAAAACAATTTTACTCAGAATTGTTGAAAAATATTTAGCAATTAGCGTTTGAATATTATATCGAATATAGCAACCAAAAAAAAATGTGAGCAAAGGACGCTGATTGTTTCAGGTTTTATTTGCAAAGGCTAAGAATGTTTATAAAGCAAAATTTTATTTGTTTAGAAAAAGATTTAAGGTTCTTAAATTGAAATTTTAAGAAAAAAAACTAACTGAATTTGAGTTCTACTAATATATGTAAATCTAATAATGAACATTTTTATTGTAGGTGGGGTTTTAGAAGTTAAATAAAATTTCTAATATAATTTGAAAACTCAGATTTTAGAATTTAATTACGATAAATTGGAACCCAAATCATATTTGATATTTATAAAAATCTGACAATTTTCTATTAACAAGTTTTCTCCAAGAACGAAACCAGGATATCGGACCATTTTTCAAAATAAAAACCTTTTAATTCACCCTGCTATTTTAATTTTTTTCGCTATTTTCGTATATCAGTTCGGATAATATGTAAAATATATAATATCTTTTATTAAAATAACAACAATTTAATAATAATTAAAATTTTTTCAAGAAAAAATTTCAACATGTACATAATAATTTCATCACCAACACGTACACAGGTATATATATCATAATATCCTATATTGAATTTAAAATATCACCACATATTCTCTTTTTCCAAGAATGAGAGAGAGAGAGAGAAAGTAAGAAAAAACATATTATGAGTATAAAATTTTCTAAATAAATTAAAATTTACATTTTAATATTGTAAACTGTATGAAATATGGAAATATACACACACATATGCATGTGTACAATATTAATTTACACATTTGTAGGTATGCATTTATAACAGTATGACTATACATTTAATATTATACATGTTGTGTTCATCCCTTTAGTTATTTATTTCTGTCTGGTTTTCGTTTTTATAGTAAAATAGTTTTTGAAAAATGTTTTAAAAGCGCTTATTTAAAATACTAAAAATATCAAGTGGTAGTTTTAAGAGAAACAGAATATTAAACATATAGTTTGTATAAGGATTAAAAAAAATTGTATTTTAATTATGTAAGCATCAAAAACAGAAACAGTATAATAGGAAATGTTAGAGACTATGTAAAATATAATGTTCCAAATAAAACGGTAATGTAGTGGAAATAAAATTATTTAGCAAATATTCTTTATGTTAGTGTAATAATTGGATATTTTTGCATTATAACCATATTTCAATAGAAATATCAATTTTGTATTGGTTGTGTATTGATATTTTGGTATAAGTCTAATGTGGTAAAAAATTTTATTGGAAATTAATTGTGTGGGGGGGTTCTTTATTAGATTTGAAATACCAGCTGTTTTTCACATGGCAATGGAAAGCATTGGTATTCTTTGGTTTCAAAATTGCAATACTTGTAACTGACTAAAATTAAAGGTTAAGCAGAGCAGTTAAGCAGACGGAATTCTGTAAAGTGCATTTTGGAAGTTTTAAAAAATTTCAAGAGAAATTATTGAAGAAATTCGATATTTCCTAAAGTTCGAATGCATGCATTTTCGAAAATACATAAAAACCCAAATAAATGTGCTGTTTTGTTTTATCCTAGAAAGGATAAATTTTTTTTGAAGCTTCTACGAGTATCTCTTTTCCAACACAAGTTATAAACAAATTAGTTTTGATATGTTATAAATTCGACAAATTTTCTTAAAAGCCCTGTAATTCCGAAACGGTTCCGATTTAACACTATGTTCTGAACTAAAACTTTACTAATTTTCCATCCTAATGGTATATGAATTCTAAATTGTTGCTTGCATAAGAAAAATATTTACGTGAATAATTACTTATATACTTTTAATATGACAGGCTCAAATTTGTTTATCGGAAATTTTACGAGTCGAATATTATTAATAGGCGAAACCTTTTATATTAAAATCATGATAAATAAACTGCTAAAATACCCAAATACTTATTGTTGTCTTTGGATTTGTCCTTAAATTAACAAGTACTTTTCGTATTAAGAAATTAATATAAACTCTGAACAATGTCCAGTCAGGAGTTTTGTAAGCATTTAATAAGAGAGCCATTCTTAAACGTTGAGTACTAGTTGGATAGCTGTTAATTTATTTTGAACACATTGTGGCAAATCTTTATGTAATTATCTAGAATATGTATTTCTATATATACATACATATGAAAATTCTCTAAATACAAATATCACTATAATATAACATAACATACATGTATATTCTTCATTATTATTAATATAAAAACTAAAATACAATAATTTAAAATATACTCAAGAGTATCAGGTACTTTATTACACTTATATACCATAATATATTGGATAATATTTAAAAGGGGAAACAAAGGTAGATAACAACATCATGTATGTATACTTTTAATACTTTGGCTTGTTCTACATATAAAATTGCATATATAGAGCATTATAATATTATTATAATTTTCAAGAGAACTTTCAAAGTATATAGCTATAGCTAAATGAAATAATTTTTGAATATTTTCTGTATTGAAATTATATGTACATGTACTCATTTTATTCAGGTTAATATTATAAGTTAATGTTATGTCTACAAATATAATGTATGTATATAGAGATCTTTACGTCTAGGTTATTTGTCCCTATTCGCATAAATATTATATAATATGTAAATTTATAAAACTATGGGGGTACTTTGAAACACATATGTACATATAATAATAATATTAAATGTGCATCAGTATGTATATTTGAATTTGGTTCAGTTATTAAATGAGTCTCACTATATTCGTATATATATATAATGTGAAAAAAGGTCATCGAATTAAAATATTATATAAAACTTATAAACTACATAAATTTTAATATAAATGGATCAAGAGAGTAAATGTAGTAAAAGGATAATTTATAAAAAAAAAGAGGGGAGAATGGGTAATCCTGGCGACGAAGATTATTATTTTATTTACATTTTTACTTTTATTTTTTTTTACAGTTTTTCCTGCATAATGTATGAACAAGTCTATAATATAAATACATTTAAATATTTCATTGACTAAATAATATTTGGTACTTGAGTGTATAAGAGTAAATTAATGATGATATAGAGTGTGTAAATATTGAAATTTGAATAAAACGTACATGCAATTAAATAATTTTCATAAATAAATTTTTTTTTTTTTGAAATATTTTAATATACCTTGAACCTTCTTGCACGTTTCTGATTGGGACCAGTTAAGTTTAAACCACATGAGTTGCACCGTAGACATTCCTCGTGATAATGATTATTATCATATAATGGTGATGGTTCTATAAAAAAAAAAATGAAAATATTTTAAATTTAATAAATTTTCCTTTGATTTCGTAAAAAAATATCGTAAATTTAATATGTACATATACTCAAAGTTTAAAATGGTGTACTTAGCATATAAAATAAGTGTTATACTTAAAAATTTATTTCAGCAAATAACATTATAATATTTTAAAAATTCATTAATTTGTGTATTTTTGCCTTATATATGCACGTACTTATTAAAATAATTTGTAAATACCGTATGGTAATTATGTGTGCTGATACTTCCAATGAATATGACAATCAGTATGATCAATGAATGAAGTATAACAAAATTTCATATTAATAACGATTATTTGAATTTCATTTCAATTCAATTAATTTTGAAGTTTAATATTCTTATTAGAGGGAAGTAATCAATTGGAAGCACTTTACGTCTTTGTACTTGAAAATTAAAAAAAACCTTCAATTTAAATTTCCATTTGAACTTTTGAGAGGAATCTGAGCCATTTTTGTTCATTTTTTTTTTTAATTTTTTTCATAATTTCATATACCGAAAAAAGTAAAATACAGGCACCTGTTAATAATCTATAAACTTGAAATAGAGAAGATTTGGCAAGGATTAAGAGGAGGAATTTAAAAGCTCTTGTGTTGGAATTATCAGGTCTAGAATATGATTCTTAGTCAGACTCTAAAATCGTCAGCAGTATTGAGGAAGAAACGTTTGTTACAATTTTCGGTTATGATATTTTTGTTAATCTATTACGACAACCGTCGGTTAACTTTTGTGGATTATGGACAAATATGTATATTATACGAGTATGAGTACTATGCGAGTAGGATCACTTGAGTTTCTTACACTACCTACTTATAAGAAGAAATGACATTTTCAATTGACTTTATTGATTGTTTTGCTTTGTCTACCTGTGGGCTGCACTTTGCCGACGTTTGTATTACGAAATAACGAATAATTTTGAGAATGACCAAGTAAACGAAAAATTGAGAATGAGAAGAGATGAAGGGTATAGAAATTCAGTATAATTATTTATTTTGAATGGCTCTAAATATGTGTAATATGAAATTTTAATTAATTTATTATTTTTCAGCATTCAAATTAATCAGTTGATGTTTTTTATCTGGAAATGGCTTATATTTTCAGTCAATTTTCCTAATTGACCCTTAGAAATAGTATAATAATTCTGGATTTTCTTTTAATTTTATTAAAGCAAGTACCAATATTATACAAAATTACCCCATTATATACAAAAAATTTTTTAGGTGCATAGCACTCAATTTAAAAATATCAAAATTAGTATGATAATCCATTAATAATTACTTCATTAAATTGAAAAATAAAAAAAAAAAATTATTGAATAAATTAAAAACACCTTATTAGTACAGGATTAAAAATAAATCCTTTTTATAATATTTTATTCGGTCGTATTCATTAACAGTAAATTTAATTTTAAAGTATCAATGAGAAGGATTTTTTTTTATATAAAAAAATTTCCATGTTCTAAACTAATTTATTGTAAATTTAAAAAATATAAAATTGAAAAAGAAAAAATTTTTGTGAATATTTTGTGAATAGGAAAAATATTTTACTATTAGTAATATTGTTAACTTTAATAGAAAATTTTCATTTTTTGAAAATTCATTTTTAATACATTGTAAACAAAATTTTCATCATAGCAATTTTCGCACAAAAAAAACAAAAAAGAATTAACAACTTAACAATTAACATCAAAGTTTTTCAAATAGCATTCAATTTCTTCCTTTCATTGTTTTTTAATCTTATTATAATTAAAATAAAAAAAACAGCTCCTATTAAAAATATTTGACAATAAAACGAACAAAATAAAAAAAATATGAAAGAATCATAAGAAAAAAAAAACGAAAAAATTTCAAATTTTTACTCATTTATCAAAAAAAAAAATTTAAAAATATTTTGTTTTTCCTTATTCTTGTACTACGCACGTATTTAAGGTATTTATTTGACACAATCAAAGAAACGCTTAAAGAGAGCCGTCAGACAATAAGTTTCTTCCAAAGACAATAATAAATTGTTAATGGAAAAGCAAAAAAAAAAAAAAAATAAGAAAAATAAAAATTGAAAATGGAAAATTAAAAAAAAAAAAACAACAACGCATACAATTAGAGCACAAAAGCGTAAAAAGAATTTTTTTATTTTTCATTTATTTTTGTTTTTTTTTTCTGCCAATTTTTTAAAAACGCTTTGTACGAAAAATTTCTTTCTAAATTCCTCATAAAATAATTTCTATTATAAATGTATGTATGGATGTATAAGAGAAGATTACATTCTTTTGAGCAAGAGAAAATAGCGAATGTCGAAAATAATATTTTTTTTCTCTTCTCATTCTCAAAATTTTTTCGTTCTTCCGTTATTTTACCTTCTATTTTTTCTTCTTTTTTTTTTTTTTTAAAACGTAATTTGTTTTTCATTTCTTAATTTAAAGTTAAATCAAATAAAAAAAAGAAGGAAAATAGAAAAGAGGAAATAAAAAACAAAAGTAACACATAGCAACAACAAAAAATTAAAATAATACATAAAAAAATCAGTTCTTTATCAAAATGACAACAAAAAAGACATGTACATTGTACACATACACACTTACATATTCGTAATATACTGTATAGGTATTGAAAATTTATAAATTTCAATAAGTATGAAAAAAGATTATGAAGAAAGAAGAGAATTTTAAGACAAGATCGAATTAAAAATGTTTCATGGCAGTCCTGAGATCATCTAGTTCTAATATTTCACGATTTGATTTGTTGACGACACATATTTACACCTGTTATCATATTCTCTATCCTATAATATTTTATTTTCGCCTCTTTGGAGTATATGAGTAGCACCATATTGAAAATGGTAAAATTTTATTTTTTGAATTTTTATTTTCGTCTCGGAGTTTTAAAAAAAAAATCATATTTATTTTTTATTTTAGTAATGTTGCGACTGATTGGCGAGGTAGAGCTACAATTGTTGCTGGAACAGCTGGACAAAAATATACGGATAATATATTTTATAATCCAGATAATGATTATGAAATAATGACTGTAAATAGATCAATGTAAGTATATGGTTTTCGAGCTTAATGTTATTTTGTATATAATGCTTATTTCATCCATTAGGTTTGTGTGATTCTTCTCTCTGTGCCTCTCTCTCTAAATATGATGTCAAAAGTCGTCTGCTCGAGGAATGAAACAGTGTATAAAAAAAAAAAACAAGTTCTACCGATCATACACCATTTTATTTCTCAGCAGATGAATGAAAGTGTTGCGATATTAGAATTTCTGATTTTTTCACAAAATACAATGTTTATTCTAGATTTTCCTACAAAAATTCCCATAGATTTTCCTCATATTCCCTTATTCACGAATGGTCAAAAATAACCATCAAAATTCGACAATAAAATTGAAATGGCATGTGACAAATCATAAGGATAACAACCATGATTTGATGTTGTAAAATTGACAATCAAAGTTATTTTTAAACAAAATGTTATTAAGGTAGAAAAATTCCATAGACATTTGCAAATAAAATGGATTGTGTGAAGCCCTCACAAATTTTTGTAATTTTTTTATTTTAAAAATTCGGTAAACGTTGAAATTGTTTTGATTTTTAAAAATTCCCAAGTATTTTCATTAAATTTCCTTTTTCCCCTTTTTATTTTCTTTTTCGTTCAAATTCCCGTAATATAGGAAAAATCTCACAATATCGCAACACTGCTTTAAATATATAAAAATTTTCTCACTTTGAGAGAGTGTTTATATACTTCACTCTAATGGAGTTGTATTTTCAATTTTAAAGCATAAGTTTTAAGATTGAATTGCGTATGTTACTTTTGCCTAACAAAAAATGTTAAGCTTTACCTAAAAAATTATTAAGATCCTATTAAAAATATTCTAAGAAAACAATAATTATGATCTTTTTTTTCAACCAATAATAATATTATTCGTACATGAAAATTTTTAACTAGGAATACAGGTTGCTCTGACTTATTAAGAGTATAATTTTTCAGTGTAAACATGTTGCACTCACATTTTTTGATTGTTATTTTATACATTTTAGATTTATTCATTTGAGACTCAAGTTCATATTGAAGGAGTAAGTACAATGGCCCAACCTTAACAGGTTACTAATTAATTTCATTCATGGTATACATACGTAGGAAATGTGTTAAAAACGAAATAACACAAAAATATTATAATTATTTTAGGATAAAATTCGAATAGAATTTACGAAAAAAGTAGACAATAAAATTGAAGGAACACGTTTAAATTTATAAAATAATATTGATGTATAGAGGGTACCTTCAATTTACAACCCCTATATATTATAGTATTATATAATATGTCTGTATGTTTTTACAATGGTAGGCAAATAATTTTCTTCCTTTTTGATAATTCTTGTCACGTCCTAAACATTAAATGTTATTTTAAATGATATTCCATGCCGCGCTATTTTCATGTTTTTTCATTCTCTATTGGAAAGGAACGAATAAAAATGTTTGTTTTTCTTTTTAATTTTTTTTATTTTATAATTTTAACGTTATCACGTTAACAGAGTTTTATATTTTTCAATTCTTTGTATATCGCTTGTATATATGTATACACATTTTGTGTGTTCAATTCGAAAATATGTACAAATAAAAAATATATACTTTTTTTTTTTGCAATTGAAAGATAGCTGAGTAGGTCGGTTTCAATCATGATTATCAATGATGTGGTCTCCCTACGTGTATTTAATTTTAAATGAATTTTATATTTTAGATAGAAAATTTCACATAAATCGTTTATAATATTCGTGAATATTTTATGAAATCTAAACTGAGATATTAATTTTATTGCATTCAAATATGAAGGTTAATTCATTGTATTTTATTTATGTATGTACGACGAGTGTCTATATATAGAAATCAATTTACAAATTTTTGGTCGTAATTGTAATAATGTTTTGCATAGTTGTTTGTATGTAATGTCATAAGA